ACATACAACCATTTATTACTAATACAACGGTATAGCCCATATTTATTGCACTCCATTGCATCACTCACTATCATACTAATTTCGAAATCCGCATGTGTAGTATTTATATCCTATATAACCACGTGACTTTCAAAGAAACATTTTGAACACGCCACATAATACCATACTAAAGATAATTTTAAGTTTTCAAGATTTTATTTATTGAATAAAGAAAAAAGACTCTAGAACGAATCGAGACTTTTTAGCTCACCTGAGCCGAAAGCTCAAGTGAGCTTTTCTGATCACATTTTGTACGGCGTCCGTCTAGCTGTCTGTCCGTTTGTAAACTTTTCACATTTTCAACTTCTTCTCAAGAACCACTGGACCAATTTCAACCAAACTTGCCATAAAGTATCCTTGGGTGAAGGGGATTCAAGTTTGTTCAAATAAAGGGCCAGAACCCAGTTCCAAGGGGAGATAATTATAAATTAGTGAAAAATTAATGGCATCTTTAAAAAATCTTCTCTAGAACCACTGGGCCAGGAAAGATGAAACTCGTGTGGAAGCATCCTTGGGTAGTTGATTTTTCCTTGTTCCTAGCCACAGTGCTCAGGTGAGCGATGTTATTGCGTATTTAGACTAGTATAGCAAGAGAATAGAAATTATTTTTTGACAATATTTTTTGAAATGATATTTGCCAAAAATCTAATATAATGCATATTTATATATAATTGTTTACTTTTGTAGTTCTGGAAAACAAACATCTTCAACGTTTACAACCCCCACATGGAGAAACCTATATAAATCAACAATTGAATTATGTAAGTTTTTATACCAGTGGGTAGGTAGAGGCGGTGGGTATAATATTTCCTCAACTTCCTTATAACCTTTCTATTCCCTATTTAAAAAAAAATCGACAATATTTTTCTCCAAAATTAGCCTTCGGATCAGTGGCCCTTAATTTCACGAAAAATCTTACGATTAAAACGAAAGTTTAAGATTTCTGTAATTTTTCCCCAAAGATTTCTTATGTCCTTCTACAACTAAGATACTTGTTGAGAGATGGAAAATTTTCATATCGGTCGTAAGAGTTTTTGTGAAAAAAGTCACAGATGAGCTAAAAAAAAATAAATCTAAAACGTTCCGACTTCCCAGGAACAACAGTACGGGATAAAAAACGCAACCGACTTCATTACATTGAGATTTTATTGTATGCTAGAGGATGTAATAGAATCAGTTTTTATTGTAAAATTTGTTACAGGGTATCCTTGGCCCAATTAAGGGCTAACGTTTTTACTAAAACTAGGCTTGAGACCCTTAAAGAAGGGGAGATGATTAGGTAAATAAATCCAAAAGAACTGGTTGCTAAAAATCTTCTCTAGGACCACCAGGCAGATTATCACCAAACTTTCACATGTTTCATACAAGGATGAGGATATGTTGAAGATTAAAACTTGTTTAAGGCATCACCCTGGGGCAAAGGACGTGGTCTCAAGGTCACTTCAAAATTGATAAAAACGTTGATATTTTGCTTACTATATAGACTAGGACCATCAAATCTTGTAAGTTGATGCATCTTATTATGATTTCACATCATGTTGAATCAAAGGTAGGTCACTGTGACCTTTTTTAAGATACTGTTTGAATTTTGCAGGTATTCGTTTTTAAATTGATTTGGAGGCATATTTTGGACACTTTAAGGCCTATGATCATCAATCTTTGTCAGTTGATGCATCTTGGGTCCTCAAACAACGTAAACTTAAAAGTAGGTCATCATGACCTTCTTTTGAAATTATGGCTTATCTTTTCTAGAACATTTAAGGCCATAATTTCAGATACTGGGAGGTTTAGAATCATCAAACCTTGTAGGTTGATACATCTTGGGGCCTTAAACATATTTATTGAAAAGTAAGTCACAATTACCTACTTTTTAAATTTAGCAGGCATTTGTTCTCAAATTGTTTAAAGGCCATATCTTAAATATTTTCAGACCTATGATCATCAAACTTTGTCAGCTGATGCATCTGAGGTCTTTAAAGAACGTCACCTAAAAAGTAGGTCACGGTGACCTAATTTTGAAATTTTACGGCTATATTGAATTATTTCATGTCTTAATTGGTTCAGAATTTACAATCTTTGTCAATTAATGTTTATTAGGTCTTGGAAAATGTCTAACAAAATCAAATTTAGAAATGAATATGCATGGTTAGCGTGAGCTCTCTTTTCACATAGTATCAATGAATTTTAAATCGTATATTCCATTTCTATGCACACATCCATAGTTTGTGTAGATTTTCTATGGTTTGAAACCAAAATGAAGGATGTTGAATACTAGTTTGTCTCTTTTATAGATCCTGTGGATGAAGTATCTGAATTCCAAACAATGATGGCTATTCCTATCGCAATAATATTTGTGTTATCAGTGTCTGCCTGCTCTATACTTGTGTCCAAATGCAAGAAAAACAGCAGCAGTAAGTATAGCAAGAAGATCCATCCTCCACTGTTTTAATACAAATATGTAATTCCAGCACCAATATATCCGTTGCTATATATTTAAACATTTACAGTCAATTTTCAATGCGTCGTAAGTACTCAAAATTATATTTAATACATGTAAGAACTAAATCCAATTCTTTTTTAAACAGCGGAAAAACAACTTCAAAATTTAGCAAAGAAAAAATTATTTGAGCGAAAAGCAAGGAAAAAACATCGACGAAAAATGGAGAGACGTAAAAAACGTCTGGAGAAAAAGAGAAAATTACAAATAAAAGTGGACAAAGTACTTCACAAGCTAGAAGAAAGAAGAATAAAACGTAGAGAAAGAAATAGAATCTTAGAAATAGAACGCAAGGAAGCACTGAAAGAGTTGGAGGCTGCGGAAAGCGAGGACCACGTGTCTATTGAGATGTTCTAGACCTTGACTAACTATAGACAAAACTGTCTACCTCATCACTGGACATACACATTTTTAATTCCAGTGACCAGTATAACTATGGTCGGTCTAAACATATGAATTTTAATCCGGTGGCAGGAAGTTGTGTGGCCCAAAAAGTAGAGAGAACAAAATACATGTGATAAAAACTAATCAAGACAAATGTAATCGCTGTTTACATGACTTTTCTATATCTTTGCAATAAATTCCCATTTAAACATAACTGCAATGTCAAGCTGCAATTGCAATTTGCACAAGCTCGTGATGACTTTAAAAACCAGAAGTCTCTGTCGAGACTGAAGCTCTACTGGTTTGTACTTATAGCAAAGAAAGAGAAAAATACTTAAGCATTTGGGAATTGAAACTTTACAACAGCAACTAGATGCTGTCATGAGACAGTCATACCCGCACTAAGGTGTTTGCCTCTAAATACACGCTCCTACATATTGGGCGGCTTTCCGAGGAAAAAGTCAAAATAATTCTATAATTTACATGTATTCATCAAATTGAGTATGAAATTCTCAGACCCTGTGACCTATAACTCAGAACCTCTTATATTTATTTTACATGCTGAATTCATTATATACCAGTTTGTATTCTATTAATGATGTAAATTAGATTTTGATAAATGTTTTGCTCATAATAGGACCTTTTTAAATTTACTAATCCCTCCCCCTCGACACCACAATCACACAGCACATACTTTTTGTTGGAATAGGCTAGATGGAAAAGTTTTGTTAAAACATCGTTTGTTATGAATTAATTTAAAATTTGTTCTTGTACTATACATGTTAACATGTAAATTTCTACATCACATCACGTTGCGTCACCCATTATCATATTTTTAGATTAAACACCATTTGGCACACCTCGGCCGATTCCCACTTCATCTGATAAGGTGACGGAATCGACGAAGGTTTGCCGAATGGAATTAGCACATGGCTGCAGTCTGGTGTGCATTGGATTAATTCATTTTGTGTTATAATTGGATTTATATTTTATGAAGTTGACGAGACCTATGGCAGTCGGTAAGTACAAGTTTAAGTATAGTGGGGGGTAAAATAAACCCAAACGATTAGGTTAAAGTTAAAAAAGGGTCAAAGATCATCGCATGCCTCACTAGACGAATTTCATATTGTGAAGTTATCTCCCGTTGTCGATGTGACATTCAGTTACTGCCAATACTGGTGCGGATCCAGAATTTTTTTTCAGGAGTAGGGAGGGGGATTCACATCTCAGTCAAAAAATTCCAGCCCAGAATTTCCTGACAAGCAGGAGAAAAAAAACTGAAAACAAATAAACAAAATAAAAACAATGATAGTGTGGTCAATGTTTTCTAAGATAGGGGGAGGATGTCCAAAGTCATTTTTTATTTGCTTCAGTATATAGTCTTGTTTAAATAACAAAGCAAATTCCAGGGGGGGGGGGGGGGGTTTCCAATCACCCTACCCACTCCCTGAAATAACAATCTATTTTGTGATTCCCATTAAATAGTATATTTTTTTTCCATTTGACTAATTATACATATTTTGTTTCTTGTGTTTATATTATGTCTGTCTATTTGTCTGCAGAAATTATAACCTTGCCCATAAGTTTTAAGTGGGATGGGCTATACAAATGGCTTCCACATTTTATAGGTTTATTTCTTGTGACAATTAAGACCTTTTATTTGGGTACCATTAATTTTTACCTCTGATCGCTTGACCTAGGATACACATTTTTACAAGAAAAATACCAAACTTTAAACTTGGCCTAAATTTTGATCAGTAGGTGCTAGGGCTTTCATGCTTAACATGTGTATTCATTGTGAACTGTCAACAGGTATAAATGTGTTTGACCTTGACCCTAGAGTTTGAACCACTTAAAAAAAAAAATTAACCTTGGCAATTAACTTTTGAACAGGAATTACTAGGGATTTCTTTATTTCACATGTGCATTCCTTGTGACAAAACTTTCTTCTGATACTAACAATTTGAACCCTTTGACCTTGACCTTTGAGTTTGACATATATTTGAGAAACTTCAACCTTTGCCATAGGCTTCCATACAGGGACATCAGTGTTTCACAAACACATCTTGTCTTCATTATTATTTGGTGGTGTCTCCATATGAGGGAAAAATTCCCAAGAGAGATGTATTCACAACAAACAAACAAATTACTAAAGAAAATATAAAACATGAATATGTTGGTCATGCATATCTCTGCATGAAAAAAACAGCTTTTCAAATACTGCAACCATATTGTAACCCTTTCAAAACACTCATTTGAGCTTTTCTGGTTTCCTTAGCATATAACGTCTGTCGTGACGTGTCGTCCATCTGTTTGTCTGAAAACTTTTTACATTTTTAACTTCTCTAGAACCACTGGGCCAATTTTACCCAATTCATATAGAAATATGTACATTTGTATGTCAGACTGTCCATCTGTCTCAATAAATTTAACCTTGGTCATCACGGTCATTTCTACTGAATGAGAAGAGACATTCATATTAAACTTATGTATTAGTATTTACCTGTGAGAATGGCATGGCTTTTTTTTTTTTACATGTGACCTAGAAGTTTGACCTACTTGCAAAAAAATTAAATTGTTATAAATTCATAATTTTGGAAGAGAAAAGTTAGGGCATTCATATCATAATGCATGTATATTATTATCTGTGATAAGACCTTTCCAAATAAATCATGACTTTTACTCTGTGACCTTGACCTTGAAGCGGTCAAGCCTAACCTACTTTTCAAAAATGTTGCATTTGCTTATAACTTTTGATTGAGATGAGATATGACTCTCACATTTGACATGGACATTAATTACTCATAAGAATTCAAGGTGTTTCCCAGCATGCGATAATTTTTTACCCCTTGACGTTGATGTTTTACATAATTTTCAAATATTTAACTCTCCTAAAAGATGATTAGGCTTCTGAGTAACATTAAGGAAGACATCAGGGAAGACAGGGCTTTTTGCACAAAAAGTCATTTTTCGACCCACATTTGACCCCCCGCGGCAAAATCTAAATTCTAAAACCTTACTGCACATCTACCTGACACCACCAACCATCTCCCAAAAGGTGATTAGGCTACTGTGTAAAATGTAGGAAAAGTTCAGGGAAGACGGGGCTTTTTGCATAAAAAACGTCATTTTTTTACCCCCATTTGACCCCCTGGGGCATAATCAAAATTCCGAAACCTTACTGCACATCTACATGACCCCACCAACCATCTCCCAAAAGATGATTAGGCTGCTGAGTAAAATGTAGAAGGAGTTCAGGGAAAACGGAGCTTTTTGTATAAAAAACGTTATTTTTCGACCCCCATTTGATCCTCCGGGGCAAAATCAAAATTCCGAAACCTTACTGCACATCTACAAGACACCACCAATCATCCCCCAAAAGGTAATTAGGCTGCTGAGTAAAATGTAGAAGGAGTTCAGGGAAGACGGGACTTTTTGCACAAAAAACGTCATTTTTCGACCCCCATTTGACCCCCCAGGGCAAAATCAAAATTCCGAAACTTTACTGCACATCTACATGACACCACCAACCATCTCCCAAAAGATGATTAAGCTACTGTGTAAAATGTAGGAGGAGTTCAGGGAAGAAAAGTGTGACAGATGGACAGATGGACGGACATGAGTAACAACAATATACCCGAACTTTCTTTAGAAAGTGCGGGTATAATAAATAGAATAATGATCCTTGATAAAGTCTCTTTATGTTCTTAATGTAGTCTACTTGTGTGCCAAGTTATATTGAAATCAGACCAAAACTATAGGAGGAGTAGCATTTTGAAACAATTTTACAGAAATTTCTATTTTTAGTAACCACGGCAACACCGTTCATCAAAATCAAAACCCGATATATAGAATTATGTATCTTAGTGTAGTCTACTTGTGTGCCAAGTTATATTAAAATCAGACCAAAACTGGAGGAGGAGTAGCATTTTGAAAGAATTTCACAGAAATTTCTATTTTTAGTAACCACGGCAACACCGTTCATCAAAATCAAACACCGATAAAAGAATTATGTATCTTAGTGTAGTCTATTTGTGTGCCAAGTTATATTGAAATCAGACCAAAACTGTAGGAGGAGTAGCATTTTGAAAGAAATTTCACAGAATTTTCTATTTTTAGTAACCACGGCAACACCGTTTATTGAAATCAAAAACCGATAAATAGAATTATGTATCTTAGTGTAGTCTACTTGTGTGCCAAGTTATATTGAAATTAGACAAAAACTGTAGGAGGAGTAGCATTTTGAAAAATTGTTTACAGACAGACGGACGGACGCATTACTATCGCATAAGCTCTTCTGGTTTCTGACCAGTAGAGCTAATAAGCAAATTTCTTCCCATTCTTGCCATGGAAAAAAACCCCTTGATTTTCTCTTACATATGTATTTAGTATGTTGTCTAGCCTCGGTAATGTGGCCGCTAACTGGTATATTTCATCTGTTAGGAACAGAAGTTACTTTTACTTCATAGCCATAGCTATGTATCTTATTCTGAAAAAGCTTCGATATTCATTCCTGTATGACATGAAACAACCAGAGAAAGCATAACAAAATTTTTAACTTTGGAGTTTGACTTGCATTTGAGAAATTTCAATTCTTGCTGTAAGCTGCTATAAGGTTAGCTGCAGATCTGTAGCTCTCCGAAAAAATATATATTGATAGACCGGAGAGCTACAGTGCCACCCATTGAAAAAACTGTATATTTATTGCGCACAAAAAAGTGCGCTCGATTCTTGATTAATTTTTCCAAATTCTTACCTCAATTGCAAAATATGGAAGATTTAAAAAAAATTACTCTCTCCTCTATCAAGTTCTCTCGTAGTTGACATCGGAACGAAGCATATTGGAC